TACGTCATATAAAATTTGGGTAGTTACCCAGTTACGGCTATGCCGTATGTTATTTCATGTTCTAATGTCTGCATCTTAAGTCACCACTGTAAAAACTTATCGATCTCGGGATTCAGTGATTAGATTTTGATTATTTTGGGTTCGTTAGCATCATCTCATCGAGACGAAAATTTTGGTAGCAAAATCATCAAAAACGGATTGATAGATAAAAAGTTATTCTTTTAGATGATTCACAAATCAGCCGATATGATATTTTTTTGCATGAAATATATACAGTGTATATTTTTTAAATAAAGAAATAAGTTTTATTTATAATTTGAAACATTACCTAGGCGGTAAATAAATTTAGCTATTACAAATGTGATCTAATTAAATATTTCTATTGGAATAGCATCGGCCGATTTTAGCATCACCTGCCATATTATATAACACATAGTATGTATCATGCGTAGATACCTGGGTATAAATAACAATTTACATCTAAAAATGGTGCCAAGCGCACCCACAGGGCATACAAGGAGACATTTACCGTTACAGTCTCTTACAGTATTTACACAGTATATATAATTAAGTTTAAACGCTTAAAAAAACCATTATCGGTTTAAGCATAAAGCATAATAGAAAATCTATTGTTTAAAACAAGGTTATGGTTATAAATTAAAAACATATATATTTTAATTTATGATTGGTTTTTGATTTAATATTGATTATTAATATTGTAAAAACAGGATAAACAATAAATGAAATTAGCGTTATATTTATTAATAATACATATTTATTAATTAGTATAAATATAGTTTGATTCAAAAATTCCAGTTAATTTGTCTTTAATCAGAGGAGCACATAGTTTATAAGTAAAGCATAGTCATTGTGAGTTCGTAGAAATTTTGGTTGAAATTATTATACGTTATTATAGAGTACAAAAGGTAGTAGATAAAATATAGGAAAAATTCCGATATATATTATTATATATTAAAGAATATCCAATTCGGAAATTTACTCCGTAAATGCTATCGCTACGTATCACTACGTATTGAGTGTTAAAAAAAAACAATGCGTATAAGGTTTCACTTTAACATTATGTATTAGTTCGTAGCTGTCAAACCATATGGTGATTTCTGGATTTGTGTTATGTGTGATACAAATGCTTAACAGACTTAGGTTTTCAGAAAGACGTCTTTAGTCACAAAAATTACTAATAGTAATGCGAATTTTGTTGAATACGTACTTTGCGCTTGATTTGTTCATTTCTTGATTTGGTTTGATGTAGTTGGTTCCAAAAACACCACGAGACCATATCAACCGTTTGGTTAGTGTAACATTTGGCGCAAAGGCGGAGTTACAATTCCCAAATGTGGAATCCAAATTCGATTAATTAACTTTTAGTTTTTTAGTTTCTTTTTTTTTTCTGTCTTTCTACTTTTCTCCACGGTATCCCGTTTTATATATACATATATATAAGGAAATACAGGAAATACAAAAAAGTTAGATAATCGAGTCGATTTGTCTTGAATATGGGACGATATTTCAATGCTATTAAAAGAAAAGTAACCAGAGTCTTTAAAGGTCGAAGGCGTAGAGTTTCTAGATCAAGTACACCAGAACTTCGCGGATGTTCATCTGGCAATGTTCAATTGTCACTTCCAGCTGATTGTCTCATTGAAATATTTTCTCATTTGGAAGATAATCCTAAATCACTACAATCATGTGTTCTCGTTAACAGATTATGGTCTAGAAGTTCGGTACCTATATTGTGGGCTCATCCCTTTAGAGATTCAACGCCATCATCAATAATCGATGTTTATATGTCATATCTAACTGACCTTGAGAGAATACATCTAGTTGATAACGGTATTTCCGTTTCGAACCGTCGACGCAATCAACTATTTGACTACGTATCATTTTTACGTCATGTTAGCATGGGAAGTCTTTATACTATAGTTCTTAAATGGACAGATCGGACGCAAACCACCCTTTCCTCCAATTCAAAGCGGTATTTTTAAATTAATATATTACTTTTTTTAATGTAAAATTTGGTTTGGTATCACTTATTTTCCCGACAACCACCTCCCTGAAAAGTTTTCCCCGATAATCACTTCCCGACACAATTATTTCCCTGACAACCACTACTTCCCTTCCACGACAGCCACTCTTCTCCGACAACACCCATTCACCGACAACCACCTTCGCCGACAACCACATTTCCCCGACACCATCACTTCCTCAACACAACACACTTCCAACAACTTTTCCCACAGCCATTCCCGATACATTACCCAACGCAATGATTCCGCGATGTTATCTTTTTCCTGATATAATTGCTTAAAGGTTGTGACTCAAAATTTTACACTAATGCCAGTAAAATTTTGAGTTACAAACTTTACATTACAACGTGATCTTAACGTATGATTAGTCAACGAAATTTTTTTAAATTCTTGAATTTTCAATTTCAAAATTTTTTAATTTAAAAGTTTTTTTTTTGATTTTTTAACTAATTTAAAAAAGTTTTTTTTTTTAAATAATTTATTTCATTTATTTTATCAGTATTTAAATATGCCGGAAAAATAATATTAGTTAAGCAATTGTGTCGGGAAAAGGAATATGAGAAAATAATATCGTGGAATCATTGTGTTAGTTATTGTATCGGGAATAGCTGTGGGGAAGGGTTGTTGGAAGAGTGTTGTGTCGAGGAGGTGGGGAAATGGTGGCGTCAGGAAAGGTGTGATTGTCAGGGAAGGGATGGTTATCGGGGAATGGGTGTTGTCAGTAGGGATGGTTGTGGTTGTGCCGGGGGTTGTCGGGAAAATGGTTGTGTCGGGAAGTGATTGTATCGGGGAAGTAATTGTCAGGAATTGGTTGTTGGCGAATTAGTTGTGTCGGGTAGTGATTGTGTTGGATAAGTGATTATTGGGGAAAAATTTTCGGGGAAGTGGTTGTCGGGAAAATAAATGTCAAGGAAATGATACCAAACCGTAAGTTTAATATAATGCGTATGTTTATATTTCTTTTTTTTCATTAGGCGTAGCCATAACACAGAACCAAGTTTAGTAATGTATCAAGCACTTTGCAGATTGTTCTTCAGTCGACGTTCGAGCATTCGATCTTTATCTCTTGACTGGGGTGTCATGGAAATCTGGAAAGCATACCCACTGCTACTTTATTCTGCTGGTATAGACACATACCTGGCAAAACTAAGACAATTTTCCATTCATTATATAACTGACTGGTCAATATTTGGCTATTTAGCAAAATACTCTAGAAATATTGAACATTTAGAGGTTCTTGGTTATTCTTTTAATATACCTCCACATCCTGAAGATGAACAAAATTTAGCATCTTTGATAACAATTCAAAAGAATTTACTACACTTTAAATTATTCGGATACGCAACATATCCTGTGTTAACCCTTGTTTCACTGGGTGCACAAGCAAAATCTTTAAGATCAGTGGAAATTAGCTATATTCATTTCACTTCAACTACACTACAAGGACCAACTTTTGAAGGGCTAGCTGCATGTAGAAACCTTGAAGAATTAACTATCTTAAATTGTTTAAATGCCACTGAAGAAATTCTATCTCCATTAGTATGTGCTACATTTCCATCCCTTCGTAAAATACACATAGTAGAATCTACATATGGATGGGATAATGTAGTAGTTTCATTAATTCACAATAATTCTGCAAATCTAGAGGAAGTTTATTATAAACCAGTAGACAATCAGCAACATCACATAATGTCTCCAACAATTATTGAATCAGTTGCTCAATGTTGTCCTCGAATAAAACGACTTGGTGTCCCTATAGGCACACTACAGATAAGTCATTTAACTGATATCCTTACATCTCCTTATTGTCAACTCCGAAGTCTTAGTATATTTCGAATGGATCGAGTATCTTGGGATAGACAAGAATTGTGGAGTGGGTTGGGTAGTTTGATGCCAACTACATTAAGGCATCTTAATATTTGGATTTATTTAGGGGATACACCAATGCAATTATTTTTACAAAATACTCAGGCACCTTTAGAAACTTTATATGTTAGGTGGTGGACTCATTATCTTGGATATGATTATCAATTAGTTGGTGCTTATTTAAAAGATAAAAAAGTAGGAATTTCAGAATTTTTGAGGCATGTTATTTAATAAATAATTATAATATATACATAATATCGACATCGACTTAAATATGTTGTAAGTGGAAATAGAATTCAAGTTGATTTGGAATTATTAAGGTTGGAGTTAGGGAGAGGGTTAAGTGAATTCCAAATCAATTTTAGTTCCATTCCCACTTACAACATATACACAATTGGCTCTTTTTAAGTGCTGATTCTCCAAGTGCAGATTATATTAAAATTCTTTAAATGCAGATTCAGCTTCAAGCCCAAGAAAATTCTTATACTGTAGTAATATTTAATTTGCTCTCTAAATGCAGGTTCAAAGGGAGTCGATTGTAATATATTCTTTTATGTTGTTACATTATTTGCATTAGACGATGATTTTATTAAAAAATATATGTATGAATGTATGTATTATTAGCTTTATACGAAATTCTTCTTCGTGTGTAATAGTTATATAAATAAAATGAGCATTACTTATTCGTGTCAACCCGATTATCAAATTATTTATCTGTTATTAAATGATCTGCAGATACGCGTTTTCTATAAATAGAGTTTAAACGTGTATATAAAGAGTCAATGTTACCGTATCTAAATAATTATTAATTGCGTTTCGGTTTAAAAATGTGAGTATTAATTGTATTGTCTTTTTATGAATTATATATAAAACTATGCAAATTTAATTAATTGGTTCTCGTAATCGGCCGGTAATTTTATAAAAAATTTTCATGTTTTACAGCTGTTTTCATTATTTTTACATTTGATGACGACTGAATCGATAAGTTTTTGATGTCAGTCGACGTTAGCAACTTATTGATTCCGACTCGATAAATCATCAAAAAATTTTTCAGATGTTCTAAAAATAATGAAAACAGCTGTAATAATCGGGTGAGTTTTTAAAAAAAAGTTAGAAATTGTGTTGTATATAAAGTTACAGCTGTTTTCATAAATTATGGAGCAACTGAAAACATTGCCGATGACCGAATCGATAAGTTACCGAATCGGAATCAATAAGTAACCGACTCAGCTGAACTCAGTTATCCCAGAATTTATGAAAACAGCTGTAAAAAAAAGCTGGCCGGCTGATCTATTTAAAAAGTTTCATGTTACGAGATCAAATAAATTAAATTTGTGTGGCCTAAGAATACTTTGAATATATTTACAGCCGCGCCTCTCTAAGTGCACGCCCTCGGGACCATAGTAAAAAAAAAGGCAAAATGTGCACTTAGAGAGGGTGTGCATTTAGAGGGGTTAAAATTTATAATCGTTGTATTATTTGGGATCAAAAGGGAGTGTGCACTTAGAGGAGTTTTTCATATGCCGTGCACTTGCACTTAGGGGGGTGCGGACTGTACTAGTAATGGAAAAAATTTATTACGATTTTAAATATGGTTAAAAATAAGTTTCTGTGATATTTCAGATTCTTGATTTTGTTATTCACAAAAATTATATTTACTAAGTACTAAATTGAATTTGCTTTTAAAATACAGAAATAAAAAATTATATTATATTTGTTAATATATATTTGGCAATCTTTTTTAAATATTAGTTTATAGTTTTTAATATAATATAGTTTAGGCCACATAAAGTTAATTAATTGTTTCTCATAACATATAAATTTTAAAATGATCCGGCTTTCAATTTTTTTTTGTAAATGTCAAGTGTAGGAATAAGGTAGTACATTTTGGTTATCACGGTGATAAATAATTGCAGATTTGAATTTTCCTAAACTAATTACCTAAAAAATCTATGCAATAGAATAAAACTATCGCTTGCGGTCAGGGTGTACCATTAAACTGATACAGAAAATTGGTATGACATTACATCACCTACTTTTCTATTTGGTAATCTAGATTAAATATATATTTAATTCAGATTTAGATGGCTAGGGAATACCTTAGACTTTTAATCTTTAATTACAACCCTTTTTTTTTTTTATCTAGAATTTGTTGTAAAAATTGATTTTATTAAAATATTTTTTTATTTTTTTTTAGATTTAAAAACAAAAAATTTAATTTAAAAATAATATTTTATAAAAAAAAGTATATTATATTATTATAAATTAAATATTTTTCAAAATTTTAAACAAATTTGTCTAAAAACATTTAAAAAATAGCATAATTATTTTAGATATTTTTCAATATTTAAATAATTAAACTTATATAAATTTTAAAACAATTGCTTAACTATATAGTATAAGTTTGCTTTAAATAATTAATATATCACCAATAAATTCCGGTTATAAAAGCTATCTTAAAAAAATATATCTATTATATAAATATTTAAATAATTTAATATTAAACTAGATTAATCTTATATTAAACTTTTTACCAAAAAATAATAAAGACTAAAAAATATTTAAAGATTAGGTTGTATAACATAGTATGTATGTGGCACAATTTATCTAATCTTGTTATTATATTTTACAAAAGTATTAAAAGAAACACTTTATTTAATTAATTATAGTCATTTTGCTTTTTTAAAAACATATATTTTAATTAATTAAGACTAGCTTGATGAAGTTGGGATAGTAAAAGAGAAAATCTTCTACTTCCTCTTCCACTACTGCTACTACTACTAGCAGAATTTTGTCTAGTTCCAACTGGTCCCAATTTTGACACAATCTTAAAAACCTCATATTCATCGACACTAAACCTATCATGATTTGTAATCATCAAGGGTCTCTCATATGATTGTCGCTTACATGAACAACCTAATTCAACATTAAAATTGGAATGGGTTCCACCCATAACCAGATCACCACTTCCAAAGCATGCCCCAATAGCTTGTGAACAAAGCACAGCTCTCGATGGTTCTTGAACTCTTGAAAGTACAGCTGCTTTGATATCTTCACCATCACCCAAAGAAAATAAGAAACTATCCTTTGTATTTCCCCATTTATTCGTTGAATCCCAATTTAATGGATTATACCCACCAATCAAATGACCTGATCCATGAATTTTCATAACTAAAATAGTAGCACCTTGAAAATCACATCGATTATGAAAGGCTTGTGGAGAGAATCCATCACGAGTTCCACGAACCAATAATTTAAATTCATAAGGAATACTTGAATATTCGTAAGGAATACTAGTAGTATTGTAAAAAGCATTTATGTCATTTCTATCAATCCAACTAGAAATTAAAGCAGCATGTCTAGCACGTAATAAATTAGATTCAATTCCTCCACGTCTAGAAGGCATTAATGAGATAGGTCGTGGACAATCCGGTACCATATGATATCTCATTACATCGTCGAATAAAGCTTTAGGTATAATATCTTTATATGGCATTACTTTACTATGAAAATCATTTGAAGAAATTTGAAATATTCGAACCAAAGGGATACATTGTTGTATTGTTGATTTTAAAGTAGATAAATGTTCAGGTTGCCATTTAGAAATATCCAAAGAAGTTAAATCTGTAGATGAAGAAACTGAAGCAGCAGTCTTAGCAATTCCCCATTTAATAAGATAATTCCAAACTTCAATTTCATCCAATTGTAGATCATCACGTTGAAGTACTCTTAATAAAACATTAAGATTGACAGAAAGATAATCATCATCAGAATCAAATAATAAAGAAGGATTTTTACATATTCTTGTAACACAATATTCTTGAAGTCTTTTTAGACGGTCGTTTTGAAAAACGGTGCGACGCACCAAATCAAAATTTTCTTCCATCCATTGAACTTTATAAGTAACAAGATGTTGTTGAATATAACCGAATAAATCGTGAAGTATTAATTCATCTGCAGCCATTAATAAATTTAGAATATCTACACCATCATGTTTATCTAAAGCTATTCTACCCGTATAAATATATCTATATAAAAATTCTTTTATAAATTAATAAATAATTAAGAATGATAAAAAAAAAACTTTCTTACAGTAATTACCTAAGTACAACTTCAAAAACTTCAGCAGAAACATTAGGTTTAGAAAAAATAATGATTCCATCTTCTTGTTTAACCCAAGTTTCAGATAAAGCAGTTTGAAAATAAGGACATCTCGCCTTTAAAATTCCAGAATGTGCACGAAATGATTTTGTATTAGGTTCTTCACCAGCTTGGATTACTACATTATAGTCTATACCTTTTTCTAATAATTGTGTTAAATCACGTAATAATATATTTGTAAAATCTGTCATTTTTTAGTAAAGAATTGTGAAAAAAAAAAGAATGTATATAGTATATTTATACGAATTTGATTCTGTTAAAAAAAGATTATCTAAAATGTTTAAGTGGAGTTTAAAACGATTTTGCTTCTTTTTATGTAACAATTAATATATGTGAGAAAAAACACTGAATTAAAAAACCGTTCTCTTTTTGTGTAAATTTAATCCAAAAAATCTCTTCGTGAAACAATGTCAAAATGGAACGTTAGAAAAATAAATGGAAAGTGTTCTAAAATGAATGTGTAATGAATGTGTAATGTGTATGTAATATATATTTTTTTCTTTCTTTTCTGTAAGGTCAATCGATGATCTCGCTCGTAAAAGAAGTTTTAAGGAAACGAGATTGATGAATTTTTTAATAAATAAATATATATTTATTTATGAATTATTATGCGAATCAATGTAGATTATTCCTATTACCAATAAACTGCGGTATAAAAAAATTAAAAATGGTTTGTTTGTTTTTTCGTAAAAAAAAACCCAAAATAGAATTATTGAATCTCGAAATTTTGATCAAATGGAAAGAAAGGTCTTTCGTTTAAAATCTGATTCAAACCTGCCTTTATTTGTAATTTCCGACAAGTACAGTATCAGGTATTGAACTTGTAGTTACGTACATACCTAGAATAAATAAAAGATAAATTTCCGCGGATCACGGGAATTGGATCTTATCCTTTTTTGGGTCTTTGATAAAGACATTATGGTCAAAAATTTTAACCTGCATACTTCAATCTAACTTTCCGAGTTAACACGTATCATGTGATCTGAGAAACAAAGAATTTACATTTAATTTTTTATAATCCGATAAATCCGATAATATTAGTACGACATCTCATTGGGTAAATAATGTCGTGCATGCATAAATGCATTTATTTTTTTTATAAAAATAATGATGCATTTACATATGTACAACGTTATCCAATCATAATTTAATCTACTCTCGAGAGTTATTTTCGAAAATCTCTCTCTAGATAAATAATCACTTTCCTTGAAAGATAATAATATTACATCATGAGTGATTCGGTAGTTTCGCCTGATATTCTTAAAGTTCTTTCACTTTCTCCTGATGAATATAGAAGGAGAAAGGTAGCTTTAATCACTGGTAAATAAGTGCTTTTGTGATATTTAAATCCAAAACTTTGATTCCATAGTTAACAAGAAATTGCTTGTAGGTATTACCGGTCAAGATGGATCTTATCTTACCGAATTACTTTTATCGAAAGGATACACTGTTCATGGACTTATTCGTCGTTCATCATCTTTCAATACGGGAAGAATTAGTCATCTTTATAAAGACCAACATGAACGTAAGTTTAAATAGAACTAACGTCTTTATGACGTTTTAACATCGTCTAAAATTTATTATTCGAATAGGTAATTTATATCCAGCAGAATATGTATTTTATAAAATATCATTATAATCTTTGATCATTCATCGAAAATAATTCTTATTTAGGTCCAAAGATGGTCCTTCATTATGGTGATTTGACCGATTCAACCAACCTTGTGCATATCGTATCACAAGTTCTTCCAACTGAAATTTATAATTTGGGTGCACAATCTCATGTAAAGGTTTCCTTTGATATGGCCGAGTATACCGTAAATATTATCAACATTTAATATAGTTCATGTTTAATGAATGCATTCATATTTCATCAATAAGATTTTCCAAAAATTAGGGTGATGTTGACGGATTGGGTACTTTACGTTTATTAGATGCCATAAGAACAGTCGGTCTCACCAATCATGTTAGATTTTATCAGGTATAAATAATATAAATAAATCACATTACAGTTACGATATTATTTTTTAAAAATTGTTCGTATCAATAAATTTATATTAAATTAATTAATATTTATTTTTATAGGCATCCACTTCTGAACTTTATGGAAAAGTTGTGGAAACACCTCAATCAGAAACTACCCCATTTTATCCTCGTTCACCATATGGCGTTGCAAAATTATATGCTTATTGGATAGTTGTTAATTATCGTGAAGCCTACAACATGTATGCTTGTAATGGTATTCTTTTTAATCATGAATCGCCTCGTCGTGGTCGTACGTTTGTCACACGAAAGATTTCACGTGCTGTTGCCGAAATTCATCTTGGTAAACAAGAATGTCTTTGGCTTGGTAACATTGATGCAAAACGTGATTGGGGACACGCAAAGGACTATGTTGGTTAGTTAATGTACACAAAAAATTGTAAATATTTATTATTAAAGAAAAATATATTAACTTCTTTTTTTTTAAAAAAAAAAAAAACCAAATAGAGGGAATGTGGTTGATGTTGCAGCAAGAATGTGCGGACGACTATGTCCTTGCGACAGGTGAAACTCATACAGTTCGCGAATTCGTAGAAAAATCATTTGCTGTGATTAACAAGACTATCGTTTGGGAAGGAGATGGTGAAGGACTTGTTGGTCGCGAACAAGACACAAATATTATTCGTGTGCGTGTTGATCCAAAGTATTTCCGTCCTACTGAGGTAGATTTGTTACTTGGAAATCCTGAAAAAGCAAATAGACAAATTGGTTGGAAACGAAAAGTAGATTTTGATTCTTTAGTAAAAGAAATGGTTTTAGCTGATATTGAAGGAGCTCGATCCAATTCGGAGAATTAAAAATAAATCTAAACTATTTAATCTATACATGTATTTTTTTCGGTTACATTTTATCGTTTACATTTATTAAAAATAAATAATAATGTTACAACGTTTAATTGAAGTAATACATGGGTTTCACTGAACAATAGAATGTCTTTCTGACAACTTCCCTAATCATATGGTAATACAGTATGTTTTATCGTCGTATTACGCAAATGTGCAGTACAATTCGATTAGTTATATTGAATTATCCGAAAGACATTGTTTGAAAAATGTCTGAATACATGACTAAATGTGGTGTAATTACCTGAAAGCAGGATATCATTAATAGCGAAAAATTTATGTGAAATGTGCAGACCGAGATCGAATTATACATATCACATGCTCAGGATGATGGCCTTAATTATTTGCAGCGCCGGTACATAAAATTCTTTGTGCAAAAATGCATGAACCATCAAGTTAATTGTCTAGGTTACGAGACTTTAAAAGAACTGGGCTTGCCAGTAAATATAAATAATTTATATTCGATTTAAATATTGTATCCCTAAATATCTTGGACGCACAATCCAAATTGGATTCAAATTTTAGGTTAAGTTGGACAACCGTGCTCAGACGGCCTTATTTTAGCCGTCATAATAGATATTTCAGAATTTTGTTGTGCTGCGGCTGTTTCACTCTATTGAAAAGAATACGTTTAGTTCATAAAATTCTTTTACAGTAAATGTTATTTTATTGCCATCTGTTAAGATATTTACTTCTATATATATATTATCCCAGTGTTGTCAATTGGGCATATAAAAAGTTGTCCAAAACTGTCCAATTGACAACACTGTATTATCCATTTTTTCGTAATACAGTAATACATACCGTCAAAGGAATTATATTTTGTGTACTTAGTCGTGTACACAAAATATAATTGAAAGTCCGATGACAGGTTTTCCTTTGACAATAAAAACGCGATTATGTTTTTGTTACACTAAAATACAAACATAGACACGCGCCCGGACATATAATTTTGACATAGCACTATAAATCTTTTAATCAAAACGCAACTTTTGTATTACCTTAGTTAAACATTGTTCTCATACATCTTTTTTTAGAGAATTTCTTGTTTTCAAGACACTATTTGATCATGATCATACTGTATAACAGTATGATAACATCCTATAAACAGTATTTAAAATTCAAATTTCTCAAAAGTACATTTTTATTCTCTATAAGAATTTAAAGTTTCTTTAATATTAAAAGAACTTATTTATTTCTCAAATACTGTAGACCTATTTTAATAATTTATGTTCTTAAAATTGTGTAGTTATCAAAAACACTGAGGAATGTTACGTGATTTGGTCTAATAGGCTACAATTAAGACCAGTTTGAAACTGGGAAGAATCGGTCTACACTAATTTGTGGCAGATTAAAATGAAATCGGATTAAAATTAAATTTTTCTATTTTTTTAGGAAAATTTAAAATTTTTTGGGGGACATTTTTTAGGGCTAGTGTTAGGGTTAGGGTTTAGAGTTAGTTTTATTAATAAAAGAGTATAAGTGGGTTTTATAAGCTTTAAAGATGAGCAAGAAAGGTCCCCAGTTTCATTTTAATCCGATTTCATTATGATCTGCGACAATTCTTATACCAGACCAATTCAACCTGGTCTAAACCATAGATTATAATGGACCATCCGCACTTTCTAATCTCGCCAATCAGGATCAGTCACGGAAACAATATCAGGTGTAACATGAAAATTAAAATTTAAAAATTTTGGTATAATTTCGCCCACTAAATTAAAGAGACGGTAACACGCAATCAACAGAAAGTGTGGGGGAAATTTGATTATAGTGGATGGCAATTTTTTGAACTTTCTGCTTCTTGGCAAAAGCGTGCTTAATATGCTTAAAAGAGAGAAAAAGATGAAACAATTTGTCAAATCAGGTAAATTTTAGCAAACACGGCAGATTCTCGATTTTGATTGGCTAACGGCCGTGATCCGCGAAATTTTGGCCCGCATTACATGCAATTTCCGGCCGGAATTAACTTTTTATAATTCTGGCCTAATTTTTGATCGTCTTTCTCGGCCAATCAAAATTAATCGTCCTGTGATTATAACTATGTGAGGTATTTTTTAAAGATATTAATGATACAACTAATTTAAGCATTATTTTGCCCGCTTTGACACAAGTATGTAGGCTGTAGCAAGCTTCAAATGGGACCTTAAGCTTAACAATTCTAAAATTATTATAAAGTTATTGTTTAAGATTATTATATACAGTTTTTGAGAAAACATATACATAGGTGTAAAACACCATAGATGCGTTTTAGTAAACTTCTTTTAAGATTATTATAAGATTATTATACAATTATTATAAGATAA